GGGGGGGGGGGGGGGGGGGGGGGGGGGGGGGGGGGGGGGGGCCCTCTTTTTTTTTTTTTTTTTGCTTGGGACGGCAAAAAAGTTAGAGCCGGCCTTGAACATGTAATATGCAATGTAGCTGTGAATTATTCTGGTTTTGTCTAGATGTTTGAGGAGCAGCTCATGCTAACATACGCTTATGGCTCACATTTGTGGGTCTGTATCAATGGCATGTTTATTTAACTGCAATTATGGAAATAAAAGGGCCATCACGGCCATTAACGTACAGTGATTTTGAGCAATGAAGCTGATCCTGCATTCACATTTTAACACATAGAGCACTGTGCTTCTGTGGTCTATAGCTCAGAAAGTATTCAAGATTTCTGTGGCATTTTGCATACATGCATCACAGATAGTCTTTTCCACAGACCAGAACATCAATTGAGAAGGTGTCATTGACTTAATGGGAAGCCATCAGTTTTTCTTAAGATATGTGGGGGTTTCTTCTAAGCATCCCTGGAGCTCTTAATAGAGTATCAGGCCATCTGTGATCTCCCCACATAGCTCCACCGTCTCCAGGATGGAAAAAGTCTATGAGCAACCTCCTACAAAAGATTTCTGTTGGACTAGGCTGTCATCAGATCCTGTTAACAAATGGCATCTCATGTAGCTCAGTAACCTTTCCACTTGGCATTGGTGACAGAATAACCAGCTCCATCAGATTTCACACTAAAATATCATTACTTACTAATGCAGAATTCTGTATTTCCTGGGATAACTTGGGCATCCCTTCATTGGGTATGTGAAACTTGAAGTGCTCATGGCAGCAGGTAGGAGGAAGCAGAAGGCTCAGTTCCTAAAAAGTCAGTTAATGTAGGTGAGATTTTTACCTCAAAACAGCAGATTTCAATTTCTGATCTGTGATTGGTTTTCTGGAGCAACTTGTTGGCGTCTTAGAAATAAAGATGCTAACAGTAATGTGGCTGGAAAAGGTTAGGTATAAACACCGAAGGTAATTTATAGGACAGAAAAAGAGCTCCAGGAAATTGAAGATAAAATTGGTCTTGATTGTTAGAAGTAACAAAATGTGAGGCAATGGTATCACATGGGAAATCTGGAATCACAGTCAGAATTTTTTTTTCAAAGAAAAGTAAAGAATGGCATACACTGGTCCTGTATTACAATCTATTCAAAGAAATCCCCATTTGTGGAAGGCAGCTCTAGCGAAATGCCAGTGCATTTGGCTTTTTTAACACCGTGGAACTGCGTTTTTGACCAATCTGGTATCTTGCTTTGTCTCAAATCTTTTTTTTTTTTTTTTTTTTTTCAGTTGCTTGAGTCTAACAGAATACCAGCTCAGGGTTGGGGTTAACACCTAATGATCAATAGAAATAAGATTAGTGCTACAACAACTGAGAGCTAACCTCTGAGAACCTGAATAAGAGATAAAGTTGAATATCTTCAGGATATATTTTAAGGCCCCGATCCTGCAATGAAAGTCTGCGCTGGTGCTCTCCTGCCACCCACAAAGTGCTCATTGCCAGGTTGGAGCCTAAAGCAATAAATAGCATGTAACTCTCTGCAAAATGTACTTATTACTCCTATTAACATATCCCAGCTGAGCTCCTTCCCGCTTCCTCAGAATATGGTTTTATCCAGTACATTTCTGACGTCTCCTGCCCTCCGCAAAATAAATTGTTTTCCGTTTAGTCTATCCATGGAATACAAACATGTGGTGTCCATTTCTTGATAAAAGCTAGTTTCACTAGCAAGAGTTGCCTTCTCCTGACATAACTGTTCAAAATCTGAAAAGATGAACTATTTCCCCTTTTTTTATTGCAATTGTCCCTTCCTGAACTGCCATAAGAATTTTTTTCTTAGGCCTTGGCTACACTTGCGAGTTACAGCGCTGTAAAGCCTCCCCCAGCGCTGTAACTCACTCCCCGTCCACACTGGCAGGGCACTTATAGCGCTGCATCTCCCTGGGTACACCGCTGCGGGTACTCCACCTCCCCGAGAGGAATAACAGCTGCAGCGGAGTGGCTATGACTCTCAGGTGTGAGTGTAAACGCTTGCAGCGCTGTACTAATCACCTTAAGTGTTCTGACTGGCTGCAGGAATGTGGAAGTGCCGGTTTCAAAGCTCTTACCACAGAGAAAAGCAAACAGTTTGCAGCTTGCTTTGCCTGAGTAAATGAATGAGCAGGGGGCCGGGAGTTCAGAACTTGCAAAATAGAGAGCTGACATGCTCCAAAAAGCACTCTCTCTCCCCCCACACTCCCTGTCACAATCCACCCCACCCTCCCGTTTTGAAAAGCACGTTTCAGCCACATGAATGCTGGGATAGCTGCCCATAATGCAACATTTGCAGCTGTGTTGGGAGTGGTGCAAGTGTGGCCACGCCACTGCACTGGCAGCTGTCAGTGTGGACAGACTGCAGCGCTTTTCCCTACTCAGCTGTACGAAGACAGGTTTACCTCACAGCGCTGTACAGCTGCAAGTGTAGCCAAGGCCTTAGACAAATCAGCAAGTTTGTGAATAGCAGCCCTGGCTTCTTCCTTATTAGCAATGGAGCCATTTAAAACATTCTTTAGGCCCTTAAAATTCCACTGGTGACTCTTTTACCATATCAAGTATAAAATGTTTCCCCAACTGTTTGCAACCTGTTCCTGTTCAGGAAGACCAAGAATACACACATTTTATTCCAAAACTAGATTTCAAAGTATTTTCATATGATGACTTCACAGTGGGTGTTAGTTCAACTTTGCCAGATCTCACGCCAGACCGTGATCTCATGCTACTGCTGCTATTATTTTATTATTAATTATTTGTATTACTGTAATGTCTAGGAGCCCTACTAATGGACCAGTACTCCATTGTGCAAGGTGCTGTACAAACACAGAACCAAGTTTCACATCAGGATATTTTAAATGGCACAGGTCCTTTGTTCTTTTCTGATTTAAACAGGTGGATGAGAATGTAATTTGTCTTGGAAGCCTATAACTTCCTTTTGGAGTTAATGATCAGGAGTGATTTGAAATTACAGCATAGTTCTGTGAGGGTAGGAGGCATTTTTGTGCATGATGGTAGTGTCCAGGAAGAAATGAGGACAGTCTGTTACACTCTAACAGATGGAAACCTAAATATGGTAATCTCCCCCCACCCTTTTTTATTTTTATTTTTTTTTAAGGCTTACACTAAAAACAAATAAGTGCTGGGCATTGGATCAAAGAGATGGACTCTTTTGTGCCTCCTTCTGCTGTATTTTATGCCTTTGTGTAATGCAGATTCAGTACAATGGAGTTGTTTTACACTTCAAACAATGTGTAGCAGAGCATGTTTTTATAAATGTGAACTCATTTAGATTTGTTTTAAATGGAAAGTCCTCATGCTGTAGCCATGAACCTCTTATGTTCTCACATTTCTAATGTCCTCATGTGTTGTTCCCCCCCTCCCCTTTTCTATCTTGCTTGTAGCTGTGGATTGTGGGGTCCCACCTTCTGTCTTGAATGCATATTCAGATCCTGTAGGGACCACCACCTATGGAAGTGAAGTTGCTTATAATTGCCTGCATGGTTATGTTATTGAAAGTGGTAACCAGACTGCAGTTTGTAATGCCAAAGGACAATGGGAAGGTGCTGATCTGGTGTGCAAAGGTAAAGAAAATATACGTACAGATTTCTGGATGATAGAAATTATTTCAGAAATAACCAGCGGTAGCGGTCGCCACTTAGAGGCGATCAATGAGAATTCCCCATTGCCGGGTTGAGAATTTCACCTGCAGACTCTAGCAGCATTTACAGGACACCTACAACATAAAAGCCATAAGTTAAATAGTTTTCTTCTGTGTATTCTTAATAAGACCATAAAATATAAAAACTAAATGACTTTAAAAACTAAGTGTCACTTTCTCAACTGGCGTAAATCTCTGTAGCTCCAGAAATCTACACCGACTTACACCATTTTAGGATCTGGCCCTATGGCCCAGATTTTTTAAAGGTATTTAGGTGTTGCTGCGCTCAATGTCACAACCGCTAATGGAATTAGGAGCCTACATCTCATTATCAAAAGGATTTAGGTACTTAAGGGTCTAAGTCCTACTGTCAATGTAATTTAGACTCCTAAGTGCCTAGGTCCTTTTTGAAAATGAGATATAGGCTCCCAGATCAGTTAAGCTTTGCAAAGCTGAGCACAGCAGTGCCTAAATACCATTAAAATCTGGGCCTAAATCTACTTTTGCTACTGTTTTTTGTTTCCTTTTGCTACTGTATTTTGTTTGGCTTGGTAATGAAACTAGGCTAGTCTGTATCACTTTTTGATTCTTTGGCACCTAAACATTGTTGTTTTTGTTTGGATTTGCTAAAGTTAAATATATTTAAAATAAACCCTGTTTTAATGGAAGATGCAGGAAAATATTTTTGTGGTTTAATACAAACTAAGGATCTGATGTGGCTTAGAGGCAGATCTTGCAACTACTTATGTATGTGAGTAAAGTTACTCATGTGAGTAGTCCCATTGATTTATGTAGGTCTGTTCATGTGAGTGAAGCTATGCTCATGCCTAAGCATTTGCAAGATCTGGTTGTAAACCAGGAATTACTTTGGTATCCTATCACCTCCACCCATCACTCTGTTAATGGGAAGCACCCTGCCTCCCTCTAGCCAATCCTGGCACCCCTTACACTATGTCTTCACTGTTAATGCCCTCCCTCCCCCCCGTAGCTATCTCAATGTCAAACCCTACTGGAGGTAGAGAAGGCACATCCTTTTACCTTGATGTAGCTAGCTGAGGTCATGAACTTGAGTAGCTGCATCAAGATAAAACTCTGCTTTGTCACCACTAGAATTTTACATTGAGACGAGTCGTTCAATGTAAGAATACACCTGTAGCCTTAGGGTACATCTGCATTGGAATAAAAGGCTAATAATTGCTATGGAGACGTTCAGCCTCGGGCCAGAGTCCAGGCTCTGGGGCCTTCCTCTCATGTCTGTGCAGCAGTTTTACAGCCCTGTTGCCAGGAAGCCCAAGTCACTGATCCTGGCCAGCTGTGGGTGTTTAATTGCTGTGTAGACACATCCTTAGAGGCTCTAAAATTGACCAATAGCAGCCCTCCTAAGGAGGCTGCCGCCTAGAAGGTTTTGCAACTCCAGCCTGCTCACTCTTCTGGCCCATCCCCACAATCTGACACTGATGCTGATACTGTTTCGAAATTAAAGCCTTACTATCACTTACGATCCTTTTACAAGCCACAGGTCTAGACTGCTGTCAGCTGCTAACAGTAACTATGTGAGCATTTTATTATTCATTATTTGACATAAACCATAAAGCCCTTTGTTTTTTGTGACTGCAGGGATGTGGCCTGTCAAGTTGATATTAAGGTGAAAAACACGTGTAAGCAAAAGAGACGTTCTCTGACAGAATTCCAGTTTAGAGCCACTCAGAGGGTCTTTATTAACTCTTATTATTAACTGATATTCCCTTATGCTTAATTACCATCTTTACTCAGTCTTTAATTTGGCACAGTTGCACTCTCCTAATCGCTACATGATTAATATCTCATGGAACTGATTCTGCATGGCTAATTCTTCTGTTCTTTGGTATCACTTTTAGTCTATGCATGAATGTACTTAGCCAATATTTCAGTCTTACTGTCTAAAAGTGCCTCTATTTTTGGAATCTGCCTCAATATCTTTGTTTTAATTCAGGGCTCAGATACCTAAAAAGCATTTGATTGATTACATAGACAGAAAACACCACTCTCTCACTTCTACATTTCAGTCTTGCTGGGGATGGCGGATAACTGTGGGGGGATGGCTTGAGGCAAGGCTTGCTTATAGTTCCTCCTGTCCAAAACCTCACTTAGTCTTTTAAAAACAGTCAGTGTCACATATCACTCTGCTTCAATAACGTAGTCTCAAACTGAAGGCTCTGAGATTGAACATTTGCTTATAATTCAGTAGTTCTGGAAGAAAAGATTATTCTAATGTTTCGCAGCATATACATGCTTACCAAGGTAGAGACAGAAAAATAACTATCATAGTGTGATTGTTTTCCATTGCTACATATTTTTTTAAAAATTTTCACTTAAAGGTTTTATACTGTAAGTTGTTTTGGTCATGATTTCTGTAAACTTGATCTAATTTTTCTGTTTATCTGTTTCTGGGTACAACTTCAGAATTACTTTAAGCCCATTTTTCAATGAATAATTTAAGCTTTCTCCTTGCCTCCATCTGTGAGCCTGAGGAAAAATATGGTTTAATTCTTAATATAGCATCCCATTGTTCATTTTTTAACAAAGTAAAGGATAATCCTGAATAGTAGTGTTGGATTCACTCTGGATTTCACATCGTACTTTAGCTTCAAATTATATTCTTCCATTCACTTGATCTTTTCTCTTTTATTATTTTAATTCCATAATTTTATTATGAAGCTCCACAAAATTGCTGAGTAAGTGAACCAATTTCAAGTTATTACCACATTTATTTTCTAATGAACTCCACAGAGACTTGAATAACCCATAGAAATTTTCCTCCATTTTCCTCCTCTATATTTTTTCTTGTCCTGGTCTAAAGCAATTCTTTCTTTTCAAAGCTTGAATGAAATGTACTGGCAGTGGAAAGCAAACCTCTGGATGCTTTTATAATTTTTCAAATGTTGGGATCATGAAAACAACATGTCTACTGGGATGGAAAATCTCTCCTCTATCTGGAATAAAAGTAATTGTATTTCCCAAGGACTAGATTCTCAGTCCTGTCCCCACTGCCGTTGTACTGTTTGGGTGGTACAAAGGGAGCAGAAACTACCCACATCTCCCTAGCTAAAGATTCCCCTGATGTGGAGCTGTCATAGCTGGCTCCTGCACCACCGTCAGTCTCTGGTGGAGGGGGCGTGGAAGGAACAAACACTCTGAGCATCATTACCAGCTTTTGTAGATTAGCCACTGGGTTTCTCTAACCCACACTGGGGTTGGGGCAGAGCCAGGCAGAGAATCTCTAAGCTGTTGCTGACAACAGAAATATCTAAAGGAATGGATACCTTGTGGGACACCTGAGAATCTTATTGGAAGACATTAGTGATAGATCCAACTGTTAAATGTTACTTGGAGATCCTTTCTTGTTAATGGGTTATGCTGTGCTTCTTACCTTCCCCTGTTATTCCATCATGGGATAGTTTTTTTTTCTTTACTATCTATTTATTTAGGAGGTATCAACAGGTTTACAAATCCTTGGCCAGGTAAATATCAGAAACAAAGCAATAATCATCACAACAGTGAGATTTCTTTAGAGAGACATTATACAGGAATATAGTCCTCAACTCTCTCTCTCTCTCTCTTTAACAAGGTGGTGTTTTACAAAATGAGCATCATTACAACACCTATGTCCTGTCATTTCTAGTCCATTGTGGAATACTGCATTGCTACTTATTATGTGTCTTGCAATAGCACCTAGGAGCCCTAATTGAGGATTAGGGCCCAGTGTGCTTGGAACAATACAAACTAAATTCCTGCATCCCAAATGCTGATGCTGTTGTTTGTCTGTATCTGTACAGCACAAAGCACAGAGAGTTCCTGGTCCTGGGGCTCTTAAGCGCTATGATAGTACAAATAACTAATGATAATTAGAGCTGTCAAGTGATTAAAAATATTAATCGCGATTAATTGCGCTGTTAAACAATAATAGAATACTATTTATTTAAATTTTTTGGATATTTTCTACTTTTTCAAATATATTGATTTCAATTACAACTCAGAATACAAAGTGTACAGTGCTCATTTTATATTTATTTTTGATTACAAATATTTGCACTGTTAAAAAAAAAGAAATAGTATTTTTCAGTTCACCTAATACAAGTACTGTAGTGCAATCTCTTTATCATGAAAGTTGAATTTATAAATGTAGAATTATGTACAAAAAATAACTGCATTCAAAATAAAACAATGTAAAACTTTAGAACCTACACGTCCACTCATTCCTACTTCTTGGTCAGCCAGTCACTCAGAGAAACAAGTTTGGTTACAAGTTGAAGGAGATAATGCTGCCCACTTCTTGTTTACAATGTCACCTGAAAGTGAGAACAGGTGTTCGCGTTGCACTGTTGTAGCCGCCATCGCAAGATATTTACATGTCAGATGCGCTAAAGATTCATATGTCCCTTCATGCTTCAACGACCATTCCAGAGGACGTGTGTTCATGCCAATGACGGGTTCTGCTTGATAACGATTCAAAGCAGCGCGGACCGACGCATGTTCATTTTCATCATCTGAGTCAAAAGACACCAGCAGAAGGTTGATTTTCTTTTTTGTTGGTTTGGGTTCTGTAGTTTCTGCATCTGAGTGTTGCTCTTTTAAGACTTCTGAAAGCATGCTCCACACCTTGTCCCGCTCAGATTTTGCACGACACTTCAGATTCTTAAACCTTGGGTCAAGTGCTGTAGCTATTTTTAGAAATCTCACATTGGTACCTTCTTTGTATTTTGTCAAATCTGCTGTGAACATAGGCGCCGACTTCCCCTCTTTCCAGTGGGTGCTCGACCCCTCCCCTTTGCCCCTGGCCCCGCCCCACTCCACCCCTCTCACGAGGCCCCGCCCCTGCTCTGCCTCTTCCCACCCCTTCCCCGCCCCCATTCCACCTCCTTCCCCAAATCCCTGCCCCGGCCCCGCCTCTTCCTCACCTCCTCACCTGAGCGCGCCACGTTCCTGCTCCTCCTCCTTCCTCCCGGAGCATGCTAACGCTGCCAAACAGCTGTTTGGCGGCGGCTGGGCAGGAAACCCTGGGAGGTAGGCGGAGGAGCAGGGGTGCTCGGGGAGGAGGAGGAGGTGGGGCGGGGGTAGGGTGACCAGGTGAGGGAAACAAAATATCGGGACACATGGGAGGGGGGTTGCAAAAAAAAAAAAAAAAAGACGAGTCAGTCCCGCCAGCGGATATCGGGACAAATTGCGTCCCAACCAAAGATCGGTCGGGACACGGGACAGACCCCAAAATATCGGGACGGTTCCGATATTATCGGACGTCTGGTCACCCTAGGCGGGGGGGGAGGGGTGAGGGGAGCTTGGCTGACAGAGAGTGCTGAGCACCCACTAATTTTTCCAAACAAACATGTGCTGGGTCATCATCTGAGACTGCTATAACGTGAAATGCAGGTAAAACAGAACAGGAGACATACAATTCTCCCCCAAGGAGTTCAGTCACAAATTTAATGAACGCATTCTTTTTTTAACGAGCATCATCAGCATGGAAGCATGTCATCTGGAATGGTGTCCGAAGCATGAAAGGGCATACGAATGTTTAGCATATCTGGTATGTAAATACCTTGCAACGCCAGCTACAAAAGTGCCCTGCGAATGCCTGTTCTCACTCTCAGGTGACATTGTAAATAAGAAGCAGGCAGCATTATCTTCTGCAAATATAAACAAACTTGTTTGTCTTAGCGATTGACTGAACAAGAAGTAAGACTGAGTGGACTTGTAGGCTCTAAAGTTTTACATTGCTTTGTTTTTGAGTGCAGTTATGTAACCAAAAAAAATCTACATTTGTAAGTTGCACTTTCACGATAGAGATTGCACTACAGTACTTATATAAGGTGAATTGAAAAATACTATTTCTTTTGTTTATCATTTTAAAGTGCAAATATTTGTCATAAAAATAATAATATAAAGTGAGCACTGTACACTTTGTATTCTGTGTTATAAAAGAAATCAATATATTTGAAAATGTAGAAAAACATCCAAAAATATTTAATAAGTTTCAACTGGTACTCTATTGTTTAACAGTGTGATTAATTGCGATACATTTTTTTGACTTAATCACGTGAGTTAACTGTGATTAATCGATAGCCCTAATAATAATGATAACATTTAGTATCTCTTCGTTAAACCTTGTGATGTGTCTTGGCTTGTTTCCATTGTCAATTTTACTTCTCTCTTTTTCCCCCTGCAGAAATAGACTGTGGCAGACCTTTGTGGATTCCACACGCAGAAATGATCTGGGACAACTCCACAACTCTAGGAAGCATGGTGTATTATAAATGTAGTGAAGGGTTTCATTTTAGTGGAGAGAAGAATTTTTCACAATGCACAATAATTCAGAAATGGGAAAATATCACAGGTGTATGTGAAGGTAAATATGTTTTCCCCTCAGATTTAAAGACCCTTCATATGAAATTCAAACGAGTTTCTTAAAGTATGATTTTATTCTGAAAAGTGACTAATAATTAGACTTGGCAGAATTCAGTTAATATTGACAGATAATGTCAATGATGATTTTTAAGTGTTTTGGGTTTTTTTTAGATTTTAATTGATTTAAATGTTCATGACTGTTTGAAATTATGGGAGGGCCAGACGATTATTTAATGACAGATGTTGAGATTCAAAAAGTTAAAGATTTGTACACTGTTAAAACATAAATTATTAATATCACATGTCAAAATATACAAAGTAAATATCCTTAAATCAACAAATCATACCTGTTCTTACTATTTGTTCTCTAGTTCAATGGTTCTCAATCAAGGGGACATGTACCCCTGGGGGTACGCAGAGGTCTTCCAGGGGTACATCAACTCATTTAGATATTTGCCTAGTTTTACAACAGGCTACATAAAAAGCACTAGCAAAGTTAGTACAAACTAAAATTTCATATAGACAATGTCTTGTTTATAATGATCTATATACTGTACACTGAAATGTAAGTACAATATTTACATTCCAGTTGATTTATTTTATAATTACATGATAAAAATGAGAAAGTAAGCAATTTTTCAGTAATAGTGTGCTGTGAACACTTTTGTATTTCTATATCTGATTTTGTAAGCAAGTAGTTTTTAAGTGAGGTGAAACTTGGGGTACACAAGACAAATCAGACTCCTGAAAGGGGTACAGTAGTCTGGAAAGGTTGAGAGTCACTGCTCTAGTCTATTTGTAACAAACCTAATTCAAAAGTCTGAATCCCTGGATTCTGACTCTTAAGATGTTCTCAAGTGGCATTTTTCTTACTTTGTCTATCTTTGAATTTCAATTATTATTGATGGAAATGTTTTTCTTTGGTTTGTGTGTGTACAGTGAAATTGATGTTTACCGACATTTACCAGTACAAATCTAATCCTTCCAACCCTACTAATAATGGAATTTTATTCCTAAACAGATCTTTCTCCTCAATATCCCCAAGTCCGTATCTGCTGACATTAACAACAAAAATAATTTTTTGTTTTACTACTTTTTGCTCTGGGTATGACTTCAGAACCAAAACAGCTGTGGGACAAGGAACTGGATTCTTTTTTGGCTCACATATCAACAGACTTGTTCATGAGGTTTCAATTGCAGGGTCATGTTGCAAAGGAAGAAGGCAACGTGCAGAATTTGTACTGTTTGTGGTGATGAACCAGAAGGAAAGAACCCAGGTTGACTTTCAGATCCAAAGCTGAATGTGCAAGGCTGGCTGTTAGTTGCTTGGGTTAGAAATAAAAAGATGTTTTTTGATTAAAAGGAGTCCTTGAGAAGAATCCCATAATGTCATTTTTATAGTTAGGTTTTGTCTTTCCTAATGGATTTTATATTTCACATGCTCCTAAGGGTTCACTTTCAGTGACTACACTAACTAATTTCTTAACACTGACTAGCAAACATTTTTTCATGAAAATTGTTTTTGATCTTTTTCAGTAACAGATTGTGGCAGACCTCCTTCAATCCCCAACACAGACATGATTTGGAACAACATTTCCCAGCTGGGGAGTGCAGTGCACTACCAATGTAAAAAGGGATTCCGCAGCATAAGTGGGAGGAATACGTCACGTTGTACTTATAATGGATCCTGGGAAATTCCAGCTCTAATATGTATAGGTAGGAGTGTAATGAAATCCTCTGCCTTTTAATTGTAGATGTGTTTTTAATTCAGCTTCAAACTTTACTCTTGGGGAAATTCTGCACCACTGCGCATGTGCAGAATTTATGTCCCCCGCAGATTTCTTTGCTTCCCCACAGAAAAATGACTTTCCGACGGGGAAGCAAAGGGAAGCCATAAGAGAGGTCATGCGACTCTCCCCAGCAGTATGTTTCAGGTGCCCAGGGCAGCCGGGAGAGAAGTAAATCACTGTGGGGTGGGAGGCGGGACTGGGGAAGACCTGGCTGGTGGGTCCTACCTTGCGCTGGGCTCAGCTGGTAGTCCGGGCTGGGTTGGGGAGGACGGGACTTCCTCTTCCCCTGCACGACATCCGGGGCTGGGTCAGACCCACCCCCAGATTTCTCCTCCGGCTGCAGGAAGTTCTGCAAACTCCCACCCCACCCCCCCGATTCCTGCACCCATTGCTCCCCAGCTGCAGTGGGAAGGATCATTGTACAGAGAGCTGCTCCCCTGTCCACACAACCCTCATGCATCCAGACCCCTTCATACCCAGAACCTCCTGCTGAGCCTCACTCCCTCCCCCCTCCACACTCAGAACCCCCCCCCCCGACGAGCCCCACTGCCCCTGCATCTGGGCCACCCCAACGAGCCACCTGGATCCCCACCCCACTGAGTCCCAGTCTCCCAGCATCTGGACCCCCCTCCCGAGCCCTATCCCTCTCACACCCAGACCCCCCTCCCCGCTGAACCCCAACCAACTTCACCTGGACCCTCTTGTAGAGTCCCATTACCATTGCACCCAGTCCCACCCCCCAACAAGTGCCTGTGCATCTGGATCCCCCCCATATCCAGATCCCCCACTCAGCTGCCCGCACCCAGATTGCCCCAGACAAAACCCTCTCAACCCACACCTGGATCCCCTCCACACTTGGATCCTGCCTTGCTGAGCCTGCCTGCCTATACCTGGTGCACCCAGTATGGAGGGGCAGGGCTCTGGGGTGTTTTGGGGGCAGGCGCGGTCCTTGTGCTGTGTCAGAGTTGGCTGCAGCCTCATCGCTGAGTCCGTGCCCGGGGCGGGGGAGAGGGGAGCTGCACAGTGATCTCCCACCTCTGTGCAGACAGTGGCCTGTGCTCCCCAATGCCATGCTGGAGCCTCCACATTTATTTGACAAATAAAATGTGCAGAATTTTGCAGAATTTTAAAATATTGTGTGCAGAATTTTTAATTTTTTGGCGCAGAATGCCCTCAGGAGTAAAACTTGTGTCCTGAAACTAGGGTAGATGGAAAGCCAAAAAAAGCCTGTTTTCGTTTACTTTGTAGGGGTTAATCCACAACATGTTGGGATATCAGGCTTACATGATGCACACATGGCAGTTCTAAAAAATGTAAGCACCATGCTAACTTGCAGCAAGATGTTATGGCCACATTCTTCCTTTACCTTCATGTTTGTTTCATTTTTCATTTTAAAAAGAAATTGGCATAACTACTGAGTCTGCATAATGAATTTATGACCTGCAAAATTTTATTTTAAAAGCCAAGGAATTTTTTTTTAGCATATAGAACAGGGGTCGGCAACCGTTCAGAAGTAGTGTGCCCAGTCTTCATTTATTCACTCTAATTTAAGGTTTTGCATGCCAGTAATACATTTTAACGTTTTTAGAAGGTCTCTTTCTATAAGTATAATATATAACTAAACTATTGTTGTATGTAAAGTAAATAAGGTTTTTAAAATGTTTAAGAAGCTTCATTTAAAATTAAATTAAAATGCAGAGTCCCCCCCGGACCAGTGGCCAGGACTCGGGCAGTGTGAGTGCCTGTCAAGGTTCCTTCCCCACTCTGAACTTTAGGGTACAGATGTAGGGACCTGCATGAAAACCTCTAAGCTTCTCTACCAGATTAGATCTGCTTTTGCTGCCACCACTCCCAATGTGCTAAGTCCCTTCCCTGGGTAGCCTTGAGAGATTCTTCCACCAATTCCCTGGTGAACACTGATCCAAAACCCTTTGGATCTTAAAACAAGGAGGAATTAATCATTCCCCCTCTTCCCTTTCCCCCCACCAATTCCTAGTGAATCCAGATCAATCCCCTTGGATTTTAGAACAAGGAAAAAATCAATCAGGTTCTTAAAAAGGAGGCTTTTAATTAAAGAAAGAAAGGTAAAAATCATCTCTGTAAAATCAGGATGGAAAATAACTTTACAGGGTAATCAAACTTAAAGAGCCCAGAGGAACCCCCTCTAGCCTTAGGTTCAAAGTTACAGCAAACAGAGATAAACACTCTAGCAAAAGGTACATTTACAAGTTGAGAAAACAAAGATAAAACTAACATGCCTTGCCTGGCTGTTTACTTACAAGTTTGAAATATGAGAGACTTGTTCAGAAAGATTTGGAGAGCATGGATTGATGTCTGGTCCCTCTCAGTCTCAAGAGCGAACAACCACCAAAACAAAGAGCACAAACAAAAGCCTGCGCCCCCCCGCCCCCCAAGATTTTAAAGTATCTTGTCCCCTTATTGGTCCTTTGGGTCAGGTGTCAGCCAGGTTACCTGAGCTTCTTAACCCTTTACAGGTAAAAGGATTTTGGTGTCTCTGGCCAGGAGGGATTATAGTATGGTACACAGGAGGGCTGTTACCCTTCCCTATATAGTTATGACAGTGCCACTGAAAATCAGCTCGCGTGCCGCCTTTGGCATGCGTGCCATAGGTTGCCTACCCCTGATATAGAAGATCAGAAGACCTTTTGTATGGGCCTGATCCTGCCATCTTTACCCCCAGAGGAATAAGGGCAGTAGAATCACAACCTGTTTTGTACACTTGTAACTAAAAGCCACAACAGACTTCTAGACCCTTTGTGCCAAGTTTCAGCCTGAAGGGATTTTCTCTATCAAAGAATTAGCCTCAAAAAGACATGCTTATAATCAACGTCATCATCTAGATTTAGAGACTGCCTTTGTATTAATATAGTGCAAGATTAACAGATGTTTTAGACTTCAGTTTTTGTATTGAACATTGCACTCGTTTGTGCCATTGGGGTAGAGGTGTCACAAATCCTCTCTGATTGTACATCATTATTTGCTGTCTGTTGCAGATGATGTTCTTCTACCTTATAATGTCAGCATGTTTTCCCTAAAGACTGGAAACGTGCCTGGGACTGCTACAGCTTCACAGGCCTCCATCCTGCAGAGATATACATACTTGCTTAATTTTACACACTTTGGGTAGTTGCATTGAAGTCAACACTGTGATGGTTTGGGTCACAAAGACCCCCTTGGGACTGTCACCTGATGGTGCTGAGACTACCTCTGAGCCAGTTCTCCCTTCCAGCTTGGGACTTCAGTACCCTGTCTTGTTGAGCCAGACACACTAGCCTGCTCAAACACAGACCCAGCTCTGAACCATAAGTCCCCCACAAGCTGCAGACTTAACAGAAAACGGCTTAGAAAATGCTCCTGTCTCTAACACCCAGACACCCAGTTCCCAATAGGGTCCAAATCCGTTCTACTCTGTATAAAACTTATACAGGGTAAACTCCTAAATGGTTCACCCTCTATAATACTGATAGAGAGATATGCACAGCTGTTTGCTCCCCTGGGTATTAATTACTTGCTTTGGGTTAATTAATAAGTAAAAAGTGATTTTATTAAATATAAAAAGTAGGATTTAAGTGGTTCCAAGTAATAACAGACAGAACAAAGTAAATTACCAAGCAAAATAAAACAAAAACATGCAAGTCTAAGCCTAATTACAGATAAAATCTCACCCTCAGAGATGTTCCAATAAGCTTCTTTCACAGACTAGACTCCTTTCTAGTCTGGGCCCAATCCTTTCCCCTGGTGCAGTCCTTGTTCCAGATCAGGTGGTAGCTGGGGGATTTCTCATGACTGCAGCCCCCTTTGTTCTGTTCCACCCCCTTTTATAGCTTTGGCACAAGGCAGGAATCTTTTGTCTCTCTGGGTCCCCACCCCTCCTTCTAAATGGAAAAGCACCAGGTTTAAGATGGATTCCAGTACCAGGTGACATGGTCACATGTCCTGTGAGACCCCAAGCCTTCATTCTTCCCGGCCTGACTCACTGGAAGGCTTGCAAGTAAACAGAGCCATCTACAGTCAATTGTTCTGGTTAATGGGAGCCAACAAGATTCCAAATCACCATTAATGGCCCACACTTTGCATAATTACAATAGGACCTCAGAGTTATATTTCATATTTCTAGTTCCAGATACAAGAATGACACATTTATTCAAATAGGATGAACACACTCAGTAGATTATAAGCTTTGTAATGATACCTTACAAAAGACCTTTTGCGTGAAGCATATTCCAGTTACATTATATTCACACTCATTAGCATATTTTCATAAAATCATATGGAGTGCAACGTCACAAATACGACTATTCACGGTGTGTAAAATTAACAAGGTGTATACATGTTTGCAGGATCAAGATCTTAACTGTGATCATCCACAGCAAAGGGGCTTGAATCTGTAGTCCACTCTCAGGCAAGATGGCCAATGAGAGTTTTCAATGGGAGGCAAAAGTGCAGAAGTTAGCCCTAGTAGTTGTTCCAGAGAGTTTAAAATAAAAGAGCCTTTCTCTGGAATGCACAAGGATAATTCGAATAATGGAGAAATTTTAAAGAAACAGCTCTGATAGCTTTGGCTGAGCTAGGGGAAAAAAGCAATGCAAAGCTTAAAAATATTTCACTAACATTTTTAACATTCACTCAAAATATTTCACTCAAAGGAGGTTACTGATGACTTTCAGAGGAAATGAAATGTCTGTTTCAGTAATGATGCCTTTCAGATGAATATGATCTTAAGGTTCCATGTAATTAATAATTCCCATTAAAATGAGGAAAAATTTCTATTATTTCTTTCCATTTTCAACTGCCTTAAGGGTAAGTGGACTTCATGGAATGAATAACCTAATTAGAACTGAGAGGGAGGTTAAGAAATACCCTTTGAGACTATGGTCTTTGATAAATAACCACGTTCCCCCATTTTTCTTGTTGCAATTGCAGTGAAACTCCCTTAATTTGCATTGTTAGTCTGTTGAAATCCCTGGTACCAAAAAAATTTAAATTGAATGAGAGATGTAATTAAATACAAAAACTCTGTTAAAATAATTGACATTATTCGGAGTCATTGGTGCTAAGCATCTCTCAGGATTAGGCCAGAGCGATAGCTGGCTTTACATTGACTCTGAGGGTGTGATCCTTTGGCCGTCTCCTTTTTCACTGGGCGTAGTCAGTCCATTCTGGTCCTTCTAGATACATGCACAATTCCACTGACAGAGGGCAGATGACAAATCAGCCATTTGCATGTGCATTGTGTCATGCTGCATATGCAAATGTAGGCACACAATTGCGCTTGGACCTTACATCTCCTTTTTGAAAAGAGCATCACCCTTAATTAAATGTAAATTTGTCACAAGTTAGTGTAGAGTAACTTATTTGAAAATGGCTTCTTTCCCAAGGAATATGAACACGTTAACTTCCTGTTGTTTTTCATTGCAGAAGTAGACTGTGGTATTCCTCCACCAATACAACATGCTGAGCTAGTGTGGAATCCCAGTTCGAGTCTTGGAAGTGTGGTGCAGTATTCATGTCAGAAGGGATTTGAATATGCTGATGGAAACAATATTTCAGTTTGCACAGAAGAAGGTGTTTGGGTAAAAAGCACTTTAACATGCACAGGTAGAGTGTGAGCTACTCTAAGAATCAAAACTTTATTTTTATTTAGTAGCAAAAGAAGGAGAAGAAAGTAACAAACCTGAGCTTTATTCGGTGGAAAATCTTTCTTCCGCCTTTCCTCAGATCTAAATTACTGTTTGTGGGCCCAGAATATGACATACAGTAGTTTGGAAAGGCTTATAAAGGTTTATTTTTAACAAGGTGGAAAAGAGTGAAATAACACCCTCCCCAATCTGTTTCCTTCTTGTTGAGAGGGTTCCACAGATTCTTGTGTTGCACTCTAGCTGCTATAAGGTAGGACAGAAAGTGTATTGAGCCAGACTTGCATACTACAGATGCATTACTTTGAACCATACAAGAAAATGGTACAGGATAATAATGCATATAAAGTAGTGTTATTGACACTATAAAATGTATAAGCCCCTTCATTTTCAGTTTAAACCTTTTTTGCCAAAAAATTTCCGGGTTTTACAAAAAATATTATTGTTTTTTTCTGATTTTCACTCTACTTTGGTATCATTCAAATATATAAAAAAATAACTTGTTTTATTAGGAAAATACAATACATTGCATGAGATACATGTATGACAATAATACATTAGTCTGTGTATATGCAAAGCTGCCTATTGAAGTCAGACTATGTATTAGTCTAGAAGATACACACAATAAGCAAACAGGCCTGCACGCAAGCACTGAAGTGCGCGTGCATCTGAACGTACTGATGAATCTCATGCCCACCACATACACATTTCAAGCTGGTAGCAGATAATGGTTTAAAGATTTGACATACTAAAATAGGAAGAAAATGAAAATCTGTATCAGAATACGTTTCAGAACACAAGGAAGTATTCGAAAGTTTTTAAAAAACAGGAGAAAAGGATGAAGTTGAGTGTATGCAAATATAACAATGCAGTGCAAATGGTGTGGCCCAATTATTAAATGTAAATATTTAAAGGCTAATAGTTCTAAGTCTACAACAGTAAACTGTTTATTCAAATGAAAAGTTTTATTTGGGGATTAGAGATCTATTGTTTTCTTAAAGTCAGAGGTGGCGTGTTTTGAGTTCTGTTTTAGTTCTGCAGCAAACCACATTGATGAATGAAAGTCAAAGCATTGATCTACTAAATACTTTTTTCTCCTGTCTTTCTGTTCACCAAAATAAACCCCGATATTTAGCCAGAAAAATTATTAATAGTTATTTGCACTGATTTTCACCTGTTTTTGTTGTTGTGGTAATAAACACTGATAAATTCCCGGGAAAAATGAAATAAAATAAAAACTGAAAAGGAAGGGCCCTAAAAATGTATCTTTTGTGAAGGGTGGAGAAAGGGCCCATTGGATATTTTAAATGAAAACTTAAAATGCTTTGTTTTTCTCTTTCGTTGAATGATGTCAAATATTATAAAGTAAAAGGGCAAGAAGGAATAACAGAGTAAAAAGCATTTTCATTCACACTGTGTATGTGTGTTAGAAATGTGCCACCATGTTTAAGTCATACAGGATACTTTATTTCCAGTCTCCCTGGACATCCTCTCCTGATACACATTCACCCTGCTCTTCATGGCTCTGACTTTCAGCTGGGCTTCACAGTGCTACTTTCACCTTTGCTTCCTGTCACTTGCTCATCAGAGACCTGGTATGATACCTTATCCTTTCTGCAACCCTGGTCACAATACCAAGACACCCCCAACACACTCCCCCATAACGCTTTCTGCTCTGGCTGTCTCCCTTCACCCTGGTCCCAGAGAATTCCTGCATCTCTCTCCTAGACAGTTATCAGTATCCAGAGACCATATTTGGTATCTGCTGGTACCAGTGTTCCCTCTAATTTTTTTACATCCATTTGCAGAATGAATTTTGTGTATGTGCACCAATATGGAGGTGATGTGTGGTGGGGGTGGGGCCGAGGGGTTCGGCGTGTGGGAGGGGGCTCAGGGCTGGGGCAGAGAGTTGGGGTGTGGGGGGGTGAGGGCTCTGGCTGGGGGTGAAGGCTCTGAGGTGGGACTGGGGATGACAGGTTCGGGGTGTGGGAGAGGGCTCAGGACTGGGGCAGAGGGTTAAAGTGTGTGGGGGGGGCGAGGGCTCCAGCTGGGGGTGGGGGCTCTGGGGTGGGGTTCGGGATGAGGGATTTGGGGTGCAGGCTGCCCCGGGGCTGCGGTGGGGAGAGAGGATTCCCTCCAGCTCTCTCTCGCCACAGCAGCTCGGGGGAGGGGCGCCTCTCCACAGCCGCGGCAGGGCTAGGCTGTGTCGGGCCGAGGGAGGGGTGCCTCTTCCCAGCTGCAGCAGCTCTGGCTGGGCTGGGCCAGGGGAGGAGTGCCTCTCCCTGTCTGCGCGGCCCTTGATAGCCTGCTGCATGGCCATGCAGCTTAGAGGAGACTTAGGCTGGTACTGATAATTACTATTTGATATTTGGATAAATCCAAAAATTATGGATTCCTCCCATCTAATCAATTTACTTGTCTTTATCCAGAGAAAACAAAATCTAAGTGACGTTTCCACTAAAAATAAAATCTTATCAGAATGTTAATAATAATAATAATGATAATAGTTAGCTCTTACATAGGTACTTTTCATCAGTAGATCTCAAAATGCTAGACATTTCGTTTGACAACAATTAACGTTATATTACTTAGAAATTAATAAATTAAACGTGTATATAAAATGAGAAGTAATTGCTTGGCAGTAAAGCAAGCAACCTCTGAGACAGAATCTATGAAAATCTATGAATCACTGGCTGCATTGTTACATTCATTGTTACTGTACAGGGAAAAGTGTGCGTGTGGGCTCCCAGAGCAGTGCCTAAAAAGGCTGAGGTCCTGCTACTAGGAAGTAAATCTGACTAGTAACACAGAAGAGAAAATCGCCGTATGCAAAGCACTGCAGAACGCAGGCAGTGAACTGAAAACCTAGAGGAAATACAATTTGTTCTTTGCTCTTGTGATTTTTAGAGCTCTAGGATGTTGATGGTAATAATAGTGATGTGAGTTTTGAGCTGACTGTCCTTTTAACTGTCTCTCTTAAGGCGCAACTCAGATTGTTTCACTGCAACTTTGTGACAAAACTTTTCAAAATAGTGGCATAGTCACATAAGACCATAAGCGGATCACAGGCCCTTTGTGTCTGGAATGTTGAAAGAAAGGATGCCCCAGTGGCTAGCCTGGAACTGAGGTCAGTTCCTTGCTCGGCCAGAGACTCCCTTTGTGATCTTGGACACATCACTTAGCCTCTCAGTGCCTCAGTTTCCAATCTGTAAAATGGGATCATAGCACTGCCCTACCTTGCAGGGAAGCAGTGATGATGAATACACTAAAGCTTATGAGGAGCTCAGATATTACAGGAATGGGGGTTAAATAGATACACGAGATAAATAGATGTTGGTATTGCACCCATAGACTCCTGCCTCAGGATTGTTGTGCAGGGCACTGTACAAACACAGAGATGGAATTGGGCCTTGCCACAGAGAACTTGCACTCTAAGCCAACATACAAAGGGAGGAGTGGAAGGGCATATTTCTCAGAATATAGGGATTATTGTGAACAAATATGTTTTCTTTTTTAAAGTGTTTTATTACATAAATAAATATGAGCTGCAACCAAATGCCACATAATAATACCATTTCTTGTTGGCATTGAAACAAAAATGTGTTTTGAAGGATTTGGAGGAGAGAGGGTAGTTGCCTGATGGATCTGTTCAGGGAAGACACTTACTTCATGCTATCTGTATTGTATATATGAAAAAACACTGTGCCAGAAGGGAACAAACACATTGCCGTGGAAAAAGCCACTCGTATCCACGTAGAGGGCGGAAAGCATGATCAGACTTGAGGAAGTTTAGAAAAGTTGCAAAGTAAGAAAAGGAAAAAGGATATAAAAGGAAAAGGTTCATCTAAAAATCAATCCTAGACATAATTCCTTCTAGTCTATTCAGTGGCAAAAAAGGGGGAGAAAGTGGAAAAACAAAAATTTGAAATTTCAAAAACATTTTAGAATTTGAAAACTAAAACAAAAATCTCAAAGTGAACAGAAATTTTTGTTTTGTTATGAAATTTCACAAAGTGAAATTGAAACACTGTGACAAAAATGACATTTCCCTGTGAACATTTTTACTAAACCCTGTTTTTTAATGGGAAAACTTTTTATGGGAAAAACTTTAACCAGCGTTATCAATAGTGAGAATTTAAACAGAGAGACAAAGCATTTCATACGTACGGGTTGTTTCTTAGGGTATGTCTACACTACGAGGGTAATTCGATTTTACTTAAATCGAATATGTGGAATCGATATTGCAAAGTCGAACGTGTGTGTCCACACTAAGGACACACTAAGGACAGTAATTCGACTTTGTGAGTCCACACTAACGGGGCGAGCGTCGATATTGGAAGCGGTGCACTGTGGGCAGCTATCCCACAGTTCCCGCAGTCCCCGCTGCCCATCGGAATTCTGGGTCGAGCCGCCAATGCCTTCTGGGTAAAAAAAATTTGTCGTCATCCGTCCGTCACTAACGCCCTCCCTCCCTCCATGAAAGCGCCGGCGGGAAATCAGTTCGCGCACTTTTCTGGTCAGTGACAGCGCGGACGCCACAGCACTGCGATCATGGATCACGCTGCGACCATCGCTGCACTTCTGGCCGTTCTCAACACCTCGCAGCTTATCATACACCTTTCCCTGAGGCAGATGAAGAGTAATCAGGCGAGGAGGCTACGACACCGCCGTGATGGCCTGAAGTCGGAGAGTAGCACAGAGCTGTCAGAAACCACGAGCCCCAGCGCCCAGGACATCACGGTGGCAATGGGTCATGTGGATATCGTGGAACGGCGATTCTGGGCCCGGGAAACAAGCACGGACTGGTGGGACCGTATAGTGCTTCAGGTCTGGGATGAATCCCAGTGGCTGCGAAACTTTCGCATGCGGAAGGGGACTTTCCTCGAACTTTGTGAGTTGCTGTCCCCTGCCCTGAAGCGCCAGAATACCAGGATGAGAGCAGCCCTCACAGTTGAGAAGCGA